CTTTGGAGTCACTGGTGAAAGAGGGAAATGGTACTGTTCAGTACCGCAGATTGCTTGCCGGCCCATTGGGATATTCGTGTACAGAGGGTCAAATTACCCTAGGTTTACCGTCCTACGCAAATTTTCGCAAGCGTAGATCTAGGTGGCAAACGGAGCCAGTAATTTGGCGCAGTTTGGCTTAGTGGAGGCATTTTGTTGGTTCCCATCGAACATTGCCGATGCCTCTTATTCAGACCTGTAAAGTACTGTAGAGCTGCGCAGAAGCACGAGCAATTTACAGAGTCTACAGGTCCTACCAAGGTGAGACTTGTAATTCAAGAGGAACTAGCGAAAGAAACTAGCAAAGATTCAAAATGTCCCTCCCAAGGCGGACAGCGCCAGGAATACTTGCAAACTATACATTTGGATGCTGCTCAAATTATGCCCTGCTTTGAATATCATCCTGGAGGTAAGACGCTACACAGGCCAGACAATCAATACGCATCATTTGCAGGTGCCCGGTTTCCGTGAATATTACTCACGACTGAATCCGGAAAACAACACGATGAACCCGTGGTTTCGTGAATTTTGGCAGCAGAAATTCGGATGTCAGTTTGCTGTTTCTAAAGAGGACAAGAACAACGAGAACATTCGCATATGCACTGGCAACGAGGACCTCGATAAGGAGTACAAGGAGGTTCGTCTTTATACGAGCTGATAGCTAGGAAGAATACTGTATTCGTTTCAGGACCCGAAGCTTTCGCAAGTGATCAACTCGATAAGTGTAGTAGCATTCGGTCTGAAGGCAATGTACCAGGATCGATGTCGGTAAGCTCTCTACCTTAGTCGAGGTGGTAAGGTAGTTAGGGGGAAGGCAGCAAGATTAGACCATACCCCTTAAGGACTTGACAGTGTGGGCGGGATTTGTACTGTGGGCGGGTTGATGTACACATTCAGCGCTCGTTATTCCTTCTGTTCCTTATCCCAACCCTAGGCTATGTTCACGGTGGTCGACCAGCGATCGTGCCACTTTAGGTGATTCTGCGATCAGCGGTGGAAAGGGTCAGTCGGAGCGCGTTCATACTCTGCGATCCGATCGGAACACGCAGTATGAACGCGCTCTCGCCATTTTTGTTCGGACATTGCGCGACGTTGTGGGGATTGAAGGAACGCCAACCATGAAAGTAGCCTTGTTTTGTGGAGCGCACCCAGCCTGCATCCGAAGAAGTACAACTTCGCCCAAGAGCATGTCCCTATGCTACGCGCTGAAAGCTTTCGATAACTCCGCTAAAACGTTCTGTCATTGCTGATGAATCTCAGGTTCTAGATGCCTCTCTCAAGCTGTGATATCTTATTGATTTTATTGATCAACTAACAGTTTCATCAATGGTAGCTCGGATTTCAG